TTTAACATTTACTGTCCTTTAACAGTCAGAAGCAAAGCGTGCTGGCAACTAGACATCTGCTGTAACTCATTCCGTGAATGTGTGTATTAATGTGTGCACATAAATTCATATGGGAACATGTGTGCAATATATGTACAAAATTAAAGGATACCATTATGAGACAAAAATATATATGTGTGTGTGTGTGTGTGTGTGTGTATATATATATATATATATATATATATATATACATAAAGTGTTATAAAACTTTATGAATATTACATATTATGCTATTTTTGTCTTCATTTCTAAATATTTGTAATATTTTTATACATGGGCAATGCATTTATTGCAGTATACTGAAAAATATAAGCACTAGTTTCCCATATATGATAATGTATTATGTAATACATCGCAAAATATTTTACAGTATATTCCCATATATTTTTGTTTCGTAAGGGAGACAAGTAGCAGCATCTAATTCACACATGCATGACACACTGTGTCTTTTCTTCATTCCTCTAAAAACATGTCGTCTACATTGACGTGCCTCGGCCCCATCTAAATTATCATTGCTGACCCGAAGAAAGAAATATGGTTTGGCAATGGTGTTCGTGCTATTAAAACTGAAAGTGGCTGCAAATAATGAAGAGTATTTGTAAAGCAGGCTGAGACAAGAGGACAGGGTTTTTCTTAAACTGTCACTCCGTGAGTAATCATGATTGCCCTCCGTGTCAGATGGAGAGAAGGGGGCACATACGCGCACTTCCACTTCCCCATCCATCTCTCATCGCATCCGCCACCAGAAGAAAAATTCTCTCTCCCCTGCTCCATCTCAGACTAGATTTGCGCCTCTTCACTCAAATGGGCAGATGAGGCAAGTGTTACAATTATGTGCTTTATATTCAGCGAAAAATCATAAAGTCAGTCAGAGGTCTTGCTGTGTTATGCACAGCGCAACTTGCTTATGTGACAAAAAAAATCATAACTGCAAAACAGCCTTTGCTAGATACATTAATTAGCTGATTCTGACATAATGTATCGCACATGCTTTTAGGTTGTCCAATTATGGTAGATATTTCAATGCAAATGCAAATGCATTTCATTACCAAATAAAGACGGACAGGGTGTTATTCAAGAAAAGTCAATTATTTACAATAGTTGAGAATTTATGCAAATGTAATCACAGATATAGGATAGGAAATAATGGGAAATGATTCCCAGCACACTGGCCATTTCACACTCGTATATTTGCATGGAAGCTGACAGTGTGTATGAATATATTTTTGTGTGCATTATTCTGATTGGAGCACTTTATTTTGTGAAACAGGAATAAACTAACCTTAGGTGTATTCTGAGAAGAAAACAAATAGTAATTGTAATTGTCATTTAGTTTAAGGTTGTCATCTTGCTTAAATCGTGTAACTGTATTCTGAATCATTCCGGCTCTGTTGAAGCAGTAAGTTCACAAATCCATGAAAGAAGGTGCTTTTTTCCCCCAGTAGATGGCACTATACTTCGGCTCTAATGCCCAAAGGTGAGTTTGTTGAGCAAGCTGAAATGCTTTGCTGTATTTTGTCACACATGCTGGAAACTTTAATAGTAAATATAAAAAAATATATGAATAAATGATGGAAATATCATTTACATCTTAATACTGCATAAAATAATTTTTGTGTGCTGCAAATAATTATTAAAAATGTTTTTAATTAAAAAAAGAACAACTAAATAATCTCCAAATGCAAGGAAAACATGATTTATTTATATTTTTAAACACTGATTGTGGATTAAAGCGTAAACAGTATATACATTTTATGCAAAAAAGTGTGCATAAAGCATACAAATAATATCAATAAAATATCTCTGACTTCATAGGAGACTGTGGTATGTCTTACCAATGTCTAAGGTAAAGGGATGCATTCAGCACACTTTAAAGGGGATGCACACTTTAGCGCATTTATTTTCCACAGCAATTGAAAATTGTGAAATAGACAAACAAATAGCCTTAGAAAAGATTTGTCCCTTAAGGAACGGTATAAGTGTCAATGAGCTGCTTCTGCTCAACGGGGAGTGGGCACCAGAATGAGCGAGACAGAATGAAAGACCACTGGCACTAGTATGATATATCTGCTCACTATAGACACATCAGAGCATGTAGAGGTGTGAAAGCATCTGGATCATTCTCAACCCCTCGAGCCACTGGGTGGGGCCTGGACAGACTCCAAATGTAGGCTGATGGAAAAGCCTGATTACTCCTGTTAAAGTGTGGGCAACAATGCCTCACGGTGCTTTGTTTACCCTTTTCAAAGGCATTTGTTCTTTGATAAGGCCCCGGAAATGGGCTCGCTGGTGGGAACCCATGGAAAAGAATACACTTTCTATCAATTGTGCCGGTCTTATCCCCCAGAGCGGTGCGTCTGGGTGTGGGAATAGCTCGCGGTCTGTATGCTGCAGCGCAGTGATAGCATTCACAGCCCAGGGCCGGAGAACAGGCTACATTCAGTCCAGAGAACCACAGGCTCCACACTGGCCCATTGTACACAGATGGACAATATACTCTATATTTGGTTTAGCACAAAGAAACAAGGTTCGATGGAGAGGGCGCTGGCCGGGGGGGTTGGGGGGTGTTAACAGTGTTGTGTGCGGGTGACTGAGAAGTAGTGTAGGTGTGTTTGTGCTTGTGCTGTGTGTGTGTGTGTGTGTGTGTGTTTGAGGTGAGAGAGCGAGAGCGTGAGTGAGAAAGGGGGAGAGACAGAAGGAGACAGCAGAGACACATATGTGTTTGCAAGACAAGTCATAGCTGTCGTAATTCATTAATACGTAATTTAATGAGATGAGTGTAAATGGGAGAATCTGATCTGATGGGCACCTCAGTGAATAACACATTCACAATAATCAATGACAAATAGGGAAAGAGTGTCTAAAAAAAAGAAATTAAGATCTAAAATTAGCTACCACATTATTCATTTTAAATTTAAATTACATAGGACTACTTACATAATTATTCATTATTAGTAGTATCAATATAACATAAAACAATATATTTATTTATATTTAACATTTTCATTAATATATGATTAAATTCATTAGTACTACTAATAAATTTTTTACTAATCTTTTATAATGATTTTTTGATCTTGGTTCAATCTATAGACTATGCAAAACAAAACAGGAAGCGTGCACCATCAGAGCAGTGAGTCGAAATGATCAGAGCTAGTAATTTGGGTTCGCTGTTTTGTAAGGAAAGCATTAGTCTGGCACATGTGAGGTTGAGCACCTTCTCAAGCAAGAAGGAAAAAAAAAAAAAAACTTTGAGCCACCACTGCCACCCACAGAGGCACCACCGTGCATTGGGTAAATCAGTATTATGATTTTAACGGATAAATACCCGTTCCGCCTAATTAATCCCGTACATCACAGGGGACATGACACCATGGGCCAAACAGATCAAGGAGTACACATCAAAGGTGCCACTGCTGTGAGGGTTCTACAGAGGCACAAAATCATTTTCTTGTTTATTTTTATGTGCAGATGGTCAATGATGCCGCGGCAGAAGAATGCGGAGAAAGAGACAGTTAATTCCTCACGATGGACTGAGAGGATAGAGCATCATCAGCCAGGCCTCTAATTAGGCTCCCTGTTATCAAAACCTCAATCGTGAAATACAACATTGGCTAAATCAATAGGACATGGCGCAAATACATTTGGTGTGTTGGTGGAAACAAATAATTATGCAAAAAGCCAGCATTCGTATGATGAGGCAATACACGTTTTTAGAGAGCATTTGGCCGGGTTTTAGAATGCAACAAAAAGATCTGGCACCTAAATAAAAGCTGAGTAGTACATATTCAAAAACACCACCCCAACTCAAAGTGTAAATATTTATCACAACTATCACCTCCCTCTCATATTTGTCCTAATAAATAATTTCTGCTTCCTATTTAGTGCTTTCATTATGAGCTGTAATCTGCCTGAAAGCAGCTCTGCACACTGGGGAGGAGTCGAGGACATAAAGGTTTGATCTGAATATAGACAGAATTTGCCCAACATTATCCACACTAACTCGCCACTGACATTAGAGCAGAGAGAGATGACTTTCCTTTAGTCTGTAACAGCCGTTTAATGCTAAATGACAGAAAGAGGATGTTAGATGCAGGCTATTGTAAGATGATCACTAAAAATAATAAGGAAAAAGACATTCTAACTGCATTACAATTACACTCATTTTAGTTTCATAAATCTTTATTTAAGTGGGAAAAAAAATCCTGTACACGTCTTATATACTGTAAAGAAAAATGTAATGATTAGCTACAATACAACTTTTTGGGGAAAAAATGCTACAACTTTGCAAAGAATTGTAGCTAAACTAACAGATTCACTATTAGTGTCATTCCTGTCCGAAACTGGCTTTGTATGCATTCTAATTCATTACATTAAAGATTAATATAAAATGTGTGTAATTTTAAATATATTTTAAACATCAGTCCATATATATATACTCACATTGTCCAGTGACTCTGGTTTCTATGTAACCTAAGAGTCAGTTTTAGGGTTGTAGGGTGTACCCTACAACAAACGGCCTCAAAATAGTCACTTACAAAATGAGAATAGGGTGTTTCCTCAGACCCAAAGAAAGAGAGAGAGAGAGCGAGAGAGCTTGCCTTCTTCTTATTTGACACAAATTGTCTGAGCACTCTAAAGAAAATGCAGTGTCCTGCCAAGCTGACCACATATTTACTGTTTACTGCTGGCTGTTGAACATGTGGTTTTTGCATATGCTCTCCTCTCCCAGTTAAATCATCTGTGGTCCCTGGGCTTTCTTCTGACATACACTGCATTGGCACTGGTGCAGCAGCTTAAATTTTTCAAGCAAAGAAAGGCATTTGTATGAAATAATAATGATCATTTCATACATTTAAATTTATGTGTCTATTTTGTTTTATTTTTTCCTTGTCTCTCAGCAGGAACAATGTTTATCTATTTTTCTCTCTCAGTTACAAGTAACAATTCTAGCACCGTCCTGCCACGATCACCTTTCTGTCTTCTACTGTTTTTACTACTTTCCCCTGTCGTACACACTCGCACCCGCTCACACACACTCTTTACTGACAGCAGTACCGCTAGCATGTGCTTTCACTTTCTGCGCCGCTCTCAGCGTCTGCTGAGCGCTCTCTGATAGGTGAGTGTACTGGAGTAGAGAGACTGAGCATCTCTCCCAGAAGACTATAGCTGGAATTATAATGAAGTGCTTAAAACACACTGTAAAAAATGACAGTGAATTTAACGGTAAAAGACTGTAAAAATGCTACAGTAAAAACCTGTTAAATGGTTAACGGTAAATTCCCCTACTATATACGGTGAAAAACTGTATTGGACATTACATGTATTGGACATAAATTTTACGGTAGTATACCGTTTTTGGAAGTGAAAAATACCGTATAATTTACAGTGAATAACCGTAAATTGACATTCCCAGAATTCCCTGCGTTACATTTCAAATTTGATGTTGTTTTGTTGAAATAACTATGTTTCTTCTTATCAGTTTTGTATATTAGGGTTGTGTGTTACACCTAATGTTGTTAAATGAATGTTTATTGCATTATTTCAGTTGTGTTACCATGATGGTGTTTAGTGTTTGTGTGAATGACACTGTGCACCTTCTATATATGTTATTATTAAAAAGCTGCTTGTGATGGGCTTTGGTTCATCATGTGACTTTCTCATCACCACCTGCATTTGGTGGTTATCAGTGTATTACAAAGGTACAAAACTGATTTCAGTACTTCAGTAGGTTGGTATATTAACATTATATCAGTTAAATTACGGTATTTAACTGTAAATTTAAGTTAAAACCATAAAACCTAAAACGTTGCTACCGTATTTTTTATGGTAAAATTCCGGCAACCACAGCTGCCGGTTTTTTACTGTAAATTTTACGGATTTTTTTTTTACAGTGCACCTCCAGGAGCACTATCGATGAGATGGTCACATGGACACTGACTGATAATGAATTCTAGATTTCAGAAATTTCAGAGTGCAGCATTAATAACCAATTCAAACAGATCATATTGAAAGGATAAGAAAAAAATAAGTTTCTCCCGTAAGTCAGATTATCAAAAATGTATAGGAGCTTAAAGTGCTAAAATACAGATTCTGGTAATATTTCACTATATTGTGGTTAAAAACGAAAGCGAGACAGAGAGAGAGAGAGAGAGAGAGAGAGAGAGAGAGACAAACATCTAAGATACCTTGTATTTCAGGATGGCAGATGTCTGTTGGATCTTTTTATTTATTTTTTATTAATTTATTGCTACTTGAACAGAATAACAGTGAAATTCATAGAAAATTAAAAAAACAAACAAACTATGCCTTCAACAAAAACATAAACTTTACTTATAAATATTTACATTAACAATAATCATCCTAATTAATGTTGGTTTATCTATCTATCTATTTATCGATCTATCTATCTATCTATCTTTCTGAAAAAGGAAACAATAGTACAATAAAAAGACTTAGTATCTTATTATAGTGTAAACTATTTTCAATCACCATATTGCTTTTCCATTTCCCCCCCCCCATCTTTCAGAAAGCAAAACATCTCAGAGGATACCTCAATCTTGATTATTTTCTTTAAATGGATTGTTTCTCTTTGCCAGCACTAACCTCAGATTTTTGAACGAGTTTTGGATTTCAGCATAAGAAATGACTTTTCTCAAGTGAATCTTCTCATTTATAATGGGCCCTTTCTAAAAACATTTTTAGTTTATGCACTGGTACATCTTACCCTACTCTTTCCTACACTAAAAAGTCCATATAGCGGTTTCAACATCTTGCTTGCACTCTAATAATTTATTGTATGTGTCAAAATTAATTAAAAAGAGCCCTTGAGACGAGTCCTGTCTCTGCATCACAGAGTGAGATTTCTTCTCTGTTACATTAATTGCATCGGACACTCCCAGTTTAGCGGGAGAGCAGCAGCATTTCAGTAGCATGTAGAACAAAGCAGGCTGCCATGTACTTTGCCTGAGGGGGTAAAGCTTTCATTGGCAGAGTGTGTGAGAATGCTAGACAATGAGCATCAAGTCAGCTGACAGCCCCATTCGCCTGAAGAACCTGCACAGTCATCTAGTGTGACAGCACAGAAACTGAGAGCACAAAGCCACGTCTGGCACTCTCTGACAGTCTTTACATGAGCTGCAGAGGAAAGACACTGAGATCTGTAGAGTAGTGTAGCTGTGAAATGGGAGGGAGGACGAAAAAGATCAATAATTATTGGTGTTTCAATGAGTCTGAGTCGTTGATTCTGTCTTTTTCTAGTTGTGACATGTTGTTAAACCACAATAAAAACATTTAGATTAAGGGTGCTTTGATCAGGATTTTTTGGGCCGATCACCGATTGTCGATCACAGGAAGCAGTATCTCCCGATACCGATCATCGATAACGATCTTTTTGAAGCCTTCTTTTTATCATGTAGAATTATTTATAGTGATGCTCCAGTCAGGATTTTTACAGACATCCATTCAGGGCCTGAATTTCATTTTTGAAAATTGGGGGAATTCCCCTCTTAGGTGACTTGTGGGGGGGATTTTTTAATTTGAGGGGTGGAGGGGGGCTTTTTTAAATTATTATAATTTTTTTTTACATTTTTCAAAAATATATAATTATCTCACCTAAATGTTTGATCATGCAGTGCATTTTTGTTTTTACAATGGGGCAATTGTTGCACAATAGCACACACAGCACAAGCCTGATTTCGAGAGCTGTATGTGAGGCGGCCTCAAGCCAGGTTCACACATACTGTACTCCGCTTGCAGTGCGTAGGCCTATGCGTTACGCAAGTGGTGCAGAAGCAGCACAAACTCGTATTGTGCAGAAGTCCGCTACTGATCCGCGGCTCTTTACCACAAACACAACATTTATCCATTTTGATTTCAAATCCAAACGTTGTCACTGAAAATGATTTTTGAGCATTGTGATTCTGTTTTTACGCAGTACAGTAATACAATCGTTCATAGACGTGTTTAAATGCAATAAATATAAGCAAGAGTTTGTGTGAACCTGGCGTTATGTGTGCGCACTTTGAGTGTGCATGAGGGCACCATCTCTAGGAGAGCGCGCAAGTGCTGAATGATTTAAACACGGGCAACAATTAAAAATAAATTAAAATGATAAACTTTGGTGATGATGCAACACTGCCTCGATTGTGCAAGTGAAAATTCCTGTGTGAACTGTGCAGCTCGTTTATTGTGCAGACAAGATGTGCTGATTTGAAGCCATTTGCGCATTTAGAGAGGGAAAGAGAGAGCGCGCGGTGATTCACTCACGCCGTTTGTGAAATTACGCCTCACAGAAAGTTTTCAAATTACTTTGTAAGTAATTTTTTTTAGAAATGTGAATTATACCTCACTATCAGCATTATAATTATTTTACCGCGCCGGACAGAGATTGAGCCAAACCTCTCAGGCAGTGCACGTCGTCAGCTTGAGATTGGTTTATGACATCGGCCTTTATTGAGACCGCCGATCAAACTTCCCCAAGCCATTATCGGCCGATAGCGATCGGTAGCCGATCAATCGGAGCACCCCTAATTTAGATATGGGAAACCAGCACCTCAGAGAGGAGAGACAAGTGTTTTGAGGCCTCTTGTAAAGAAATACAGAGAATGAGGAATAATGGGTGATATTGGGCAGGGGCGTAGCCATCATTTCAGAAGTGAGCAGGACAGAAATTAGAGATTTTTATTTTGTCTAACTGACAGGTTTTATTTGTCTTTAGCTCTTAATTTTAATTTATTGGCTAAGAAATCAAATACACTGCTGGACAATAACCAATCATTTGCATTCCATAATATTTTTTCCCTATATTTCCCTAATGACATGATTGGTTTATATTAGGGCTGTAGTTTTAGCGTTAATTGAATTAATTAGTTACAGAAAAATAACGCGATTCAAATATTTTAATGCAGCCGCCCCACCCCAGACCTGTACGTTCTTACATTTCATACAGTTGACTATTGACAAACTTAAAGCAGGGCATCAACTCTCTGCATGATGTAGCATAAAAAGTTATAGTTATATGCCTTTAAAATGTAAGATATTGGGGAAAAAAAATTCCCCTGTATGAGTTTTTGTCTTATATATGTTAAGTGATATTTCACACGAGCAGCAAGAGCATATCACACAAGTGTTGTTTTTGTCCTGAATAGCACGAGTGCAAATGTGATTTTAAACAACAGTTCACTGAATAAAGTTATTGTGTTATATTTTAGATTTGATTTTGCTCAATTTTGCCAATGAAAATATTACCCATAAAGCCACAACAGAATTGCTGTTCCTCTCTGAGCAACACACAGCGGTGATTAGTTTCTGAATGAATCCAAGTTGTGAACAAATCGGGTGAGCCAATGATTCAATGACCCATCCATAAAGAGCCACTTACATCATACCTGAATGAATCAGCAGTTTGAACGAATCAAATGAATGAATCAATCAATCAATAGGCTCGTTTGAGATGAGCAAAATCTGCACAGAACCGATCACCGGTGATCACCACGAAATGCATGCCGGTTAGAAAAGTGTCCGAGTTACGTCCGACTTGCTCTGATGACATGCTGACGTGTGCCAAAAAACACTTGCGACGGCGAGGCGGCTGTGTCGGATTGCGCAGTCGAGCGCAGTTGCTCTCTATTGACTGCACTGATCTAAAGCATTATGGGAAACGACTGACTGACGACACAGCTTAACGTTCATTGGTTCAGACAACTGTGATGCTGTGTTCTCTTCTAAAATGTTTTATTTTTTATCTGGTTTCATGTGATTATGTATTTAAATTATGCATGAATATTCTATAACACTATGACAGTGCGATCTCTGTGTGAGATATGTGATTGTTGTCATATTTCTATAAAAAACTAAAATACATGTTTGTATTAAAGTAAAAATTAATATGCCTTTCGTAATGGAATTAAGTAGCAAGCACTTTGAGTGTCTTGTTCATCATATTTATTTTTATATAAAGGCAACAGAACTGAAATCATATCATGTTAATCAGCAGCACAGCACGTGAGTGGGAATAACGTGATATCCGCCTTTGATCTCGTTGGTATCTGTTCACTTCGAGAGGTCAGAACTGTCCGTCTTGCCTCCGCTTATTTCACTCCTCCCCTCACTGCAACCGCCTACTCTCACCTACATTTCAGGCGAGGCGAGGCGAGGTGCATCTCAAACAAGCCTAATGACTTACTCATAAAGATACTGCCACCTACAGTACAAAGAATACTGAAATGCTTCAAATGATCTTCTTTTATGTTCCATAGTTTAGTTTTGTAGCCTAAACGTTTGTGTAATAAATTTTATGTTGAAAATAAAATATTTCTTCCTAAAGCTACTTTTTGTAATATCTAGGATACTTGATATTTTTCCCATTCAATACAATAATTTAATTTGCAATTAATTAGATTAATTAATCGCTATATCAATTAATTAGATTTAAAATTGCAATCGACTGACAGCCCTAGTCCTACTACAAACACTTTTCCCCATCTTTATCACAGAATAAGGCAGAGCATATATTTTATAGTTTTTCTATACTGTAATAAATTAGCACAGCATTATTCATGTACCTTATTTATTACTTTGAGATGACTTGAAAATTACACATAAACCATATTATCGCAATCGTGTGTTTATTGTCTTCACGCTTCATCAGCCAAAACGTTTAATTTCAATAAACATATCAGAAATGGAGCATAGCGATAGTTCTGGCAGGCCATGCTAGTCAAGCTCGCATCAGCTGACACTCAGCTGATCCACGTCTACCTATAGGATCACGACACCAATCATAATTCCCTTCATAAGGTCCCTTCAGTCATTACTCAGCAGCTATCGCTTTTCGTTCAGGAACTAATCAGATGGCAAATTCCATCTCCATAGGAAGCATTTAATCTGGATTTTCGACAGGATTCCCACAGAGTATCTCACCAGATTCAAGTTGTGAATTTAAGCGAATTAGCCGCGTTGTTTGTCAAGCCGATAGACTGAAGTGATCTGAGCGAGCATGGCTCCTCGCAATTGATATAGACACTTTGCCCGCAATTCATCGCCGAAGTTGTGCTAATACGACTAATTGAATTAGACTTCAATTTAAAAGCCTTGGACAAACTATGCAAAACAAAACAAAAAAAAACTCTACATTGTTTTGCCTCAAAGCATTGAAAGTGCACATGGTGGAGTTTGAACTTAACATCAACTGCTTCTGTTTCACACAAATGCCAGCACAGACGTGCACGTTTGGCTAGAGTCGCTTTGAACTTTGAAGCGGAGCTGCGCGGAAAGTTACAAAAATGTCGTGCACACCGCCACGCAAAACGACGTTGCACGCACTCAAAGCGAACTTCCGTCAACACCGCGATGACGTCATATTTGCAGCATGCACCTAAGCGAACTTGAGGACGTGTCGAGTGTAAATCAGCCTTTAGGCTATCGGGTGTTTCTGCAGTGCTGGTATCCAGGTAAACTTGCGACAGCAAGAAGCTTGTTTAAGGCCATCAATTATCTTGAGATATGCTTGCTGCTATGGGTCATCTGGTTATTGGTAATGCCATTTTCTTTAGGTCTGACTACTGCAACATGCCGTGCTTAAGCAATCTACACACTGTTGCATAAGCTTCGAGAGTATTGGTAAGGATTGTCTACTACACTAATGTGGGTTATCAGATAGAGGACATGTATGTCAGCGAACGCTAATATCATGGGAGGCGACAACCTGTATAAACATGACTTGAATTATTGAGCTATATGCCGTGTTATGGATGCTAAGCTTAGGCTAGGCAGAATCTGCGATCTCTAAACCTGTCATTGCTTGCTCTACGGCTGCAGTACGCAGTGTTTGCTATCAACTGACAACTAGGCTGCAATCTAGGGGATTCTGCATCTTAATTTCAGGTTGCTTTAAAAAGGGGCTTGCTGCTCTTCATGGCTGCTATTAAGAAGAGCACCTCTTCGCTGCTACACTCCTCCGGTAAGGGGCTTGCTGCTCTTCTTAGCTGATTATAAAGAAGAGCACCCATTCGCTGCCACTGTCTTCCCGAAGGGGCAAGCTGCTCTTCCTACCTGCTCATAGCAGAAGAGCACCCCTTCGCCGCCACTCTCCTTCCGTATGGCATTCAGTTAGATTGCTATAAGCATTTTGGTTGGGGGGTTCAGCATATGGTTGTTTTGGGGGGTATTCTGCTCTCCCTGCTCCTATCCATGCTAGGCTGCGTGGATGGGCAGGGAGCGTTTGCCCAGAACAGAACCATTCCCCCAACCTAAAATGTATGCTAATCGTAAGTTATATTAGGGCCTTCGCACCGCTTTAGTTCCAGAACTAAATGTGCAGTACTAAAGTACTGGGACGATTTTGCGCAAACTATTTCCCAGTACCATTTAAAGGGTTGCATTCGCACCGACAGTGTGTACTAGGAACCGGTCGACAGCGACGTCATTTGTGCGCGGCGTTCAACAATGGAAACAAAAAAGAACAACGTTAACAACAGGAGGATGGAGGACGCTGTGATCTGAGCTGTTTTTGTTGTGTCTCGCGGGTTTCACAATAATGGACATGGAATGTCGACGTATATGTAAAGCGATTGAAAGAACAGAAAGGAGGACTAAGACTCTCCAACGACAACTGGCAGTGCTATATTTGCTACAAGTGCCTGCACTTCAGCGTCCGTCCATCTATCGCTGTTCTCCATACTTGTCAATAAGTTGACACAATGTTTACAGTATGTTTACACAGAGTTTTAAATCATGGCGGGGGAGGGGGGGTTCATACGCGGTTGGCCCATGTGAGGGCGTGTTCATACGCGTTTGGCCAATCAATGTCTACTTACGTCACGATTAGTACCAGTTGTGCTGGTTAGACCCTGCTCCGGAGTAGGAGCTAATTTGGTTCTCGAAAAAGGCAGTCCGGTATTAAAATCGCTCCCAGTTCTGGCAGTGCGAAAACGGCAAAAAGTGGGTAGTTCCACAATTAGTTCTGGTACTATGAAAAGGTTCCTGTGGTGCGAAAGGCCCTATTGACGATAGTGGTCCTGACAGAAATGGAGCATAGCAATATCAAACTCGCATCAGCTGACACTCAGCTGATCCACGTCTACCTATAGGATCACGACACCAATCATAATTCCCTTCATAAGGTCCCTTCAGTCATTATTCAGTAGCTATCGCTTCGCTCAGGAACTAATCACCCACCTCCATCCCCAGCTCCTCCTCTCGTCCAGTCAGGACTTGGCAGTGAATATATCGAGTCAGACCACTGAATCATGTTGTTAAAATAATCACGTAGAACATTAATGGTATCTGCTACATTTATCATTGATGTTGGTTCTGTTCTGTTACCCTAGGGGGGTATTCTGCTCTCCCTGCTCCTATCCATGCTAGGCTGCGTGGATGGGCAGGGAGTGTTTGCCCAGAACAGAACCATTCCACCAACCTAAAATGTATGCTAATCGTAAGTTATATTGACGATAGTGGTCCTGACAGAAATGCTTTTAACGTGAAGTTTAGCTTACCTGTCGAGAAGAAACTCCACACGGTCGTTGCATCGACTGGAACTCAAACATTATAGCAAATTCCTCTATCTTGTAAAAACACCTCCAATTTTTCACCTTGTCATATCCCATTGTCTGTCTGCGTATGTTGGCAAGTCTTCGAATTTTGGCTTGCATTGCTGTAACTTCTTCTTTTTAGCATTTGCAACTTTAAATTATTACATACCGCCATCTACTGTACAGGAGTGTGTAGAGGAACTTGGCAGAAACTTTATTTAATAATAAAAAATACAAATAAAAACTAGATTCTTCTTATTAATCCTGAATTTTTAAGGAATGTAAACAAAGCTTTGAAACTATTTATTTCCATCCCTCATTCTCTAAGAATATCTTCAATTCCATTCTCTTCTTTCATTTCCTGCAATTTCTGTCTGTATTCATAATATTAAATGCATTTAAATAAGACATGTTCTACCTCTTCCTTAGTTTGACATGCATTTCTGAAACAGATTCTGAATTCCTTCTTCCCCTCCTGCTAAACATCCTCCGGCTCAGCCTGCTCACAGTAGTCACGCCCCAAACTCTCGCAGAGGTATGCAAATACATTGTTGATAGGCAGGTAGGACATCCTATCATTAGTCTCAGCCTCAGACGTCATGCCCACAGCCTGAAGGTCTGGCTACACGAGATTTCCTATCATTGCATTCGGACCGAATTGCAATTGGACGATTTATGCTCCTGAGACCATAACACTTTATGGCCATGAGACTTCCACAGAAGACATATTTATGGTTTTATATATTAAACCTTAATAAATGTATTAATACGCTTTGGTTATGAGAAAAGTGCATTATATATATATATATATATATATATATATATATATATATATATATATATGTGAGTGTGTGTTTGTAACCCTCTTCGTCGGTGTGCCCCCCTCCCCCTAATGAAACACTTACATACAGCTCCCCCCTTAAGGCAGGGAGAACCCATTACATCTTCTACATATGTGTGTGTGTCTCCTCATATATAGATGTGTAAATTAAAATAGATATAAAATAATAAAATCACAAGTTCACAAAATAATTCATCAATATTTCCACATAAAAATATATGCATAATAATTATATTATTTATAACATTATAAATAATATTATCACATAAAATATATATCAATACTTCAAGATCAATCAGCCCATCCCTTGTCAGCCCTTGTAAATCTGTGTGTAATACAGGTAACAAATGGGACATAAATGGATTTAGGATTCTGTTATGTTATGTTATGGACATCTACCGAGTCTGTAATTAGAAATCATCATTGATAAACCATCACTATTGCCAGTAATGCTCAACAGAACCCACAGATAGCTTCCAACAACCCCCTTTACCGTCAGTGAGATGCAGCTCTGCTCACTTTTCACATCAGGGGACAGACGTGGACCAGGCGTAGGCCGTGTGCGGGTTGCCTCTTCTCTTAATGCTAACCAGTGGGGTTAAACGGGAGCAGATGCCTCTCTAAACACATGGGTGTACGTTTCAATGCTGGGAGTCTGAATCGGCGTCTGTGTCTCCTGACAGGAATGCTCGGCTTCCCTTGAGTAGCAAAAATATATAACAAAATGTCGGAATTATACAAAATTATAATCAAGAGCTGGCACTTCAGAGTACTTCCATTAATCTAATTTCATCCTTGTTTGTGGTGACTAATACATTTTTATCCGCCAGCATCCAAGCAACACAAAAGTGGCTAAAAGAACAACACAAAGGAAAGCCACTGAGCACTCAGTTTCACTTTCAATAAAACAAATTCTGAATTCAGCAAAAAGACCGTAATTGGAAATGTACAGCCATGGCAAGCCTGATAATGCCAAGGCAGCTAACATTTGCCGGCCTGCCTGCCATGTTTTGGACCCTGTGCCATCAGGGGAGGATGCCCTCCATATGCCAATGCAGAGAAAAGGGGGCTGGGCACTCGGGAGACATATGGCCCACATCTTCTCCAGCATCGCGCCTCTCTCGCACTCAGGGCCAGGGATATGTTCGCCAGCGCTAAACACTTTTCTCATTAGTTCAGGCCAGGAGTTTGATGCAGGGCATGTCAAGAGGCATGTCTGGGAGCCACTCGATATGACAAGGCACAAGTGAGGGGCCAGTGGGCAACATATGGTGCTTATTATGAGAGAAGCACGAGGGTTTTCATCTCCTTAATCAGACAAGAGCTGAGCCATGCACCCTCTCCCCAATGAACTGCAACAGGAAAACAACACGAAGGTCTCCACTGAAGCTCACATTCATCATGCGAAGTACTACAATAGTGGAAAAGTGCCAAAGAGCTTTGATACTCTGTAAATCACTCTAATGTGAAATACGCTGAGTGACATTGCAAAATTCTGCTAGACTAAGTGAGCTGTAATCGAATGTATGTACTTTTTTCTTTACATAGTATATCATATTGGCCACATTTCATATGTATTTAGATTAAATCATTTTTGTGGGGCATTTTATTGCTTTTTTTCTTGGGGGCAAGTATATTTAGTCTGTAATAATAATAAAATTATACATTACAAAAATTACATTTTAATAGTAGTTTTAGGGCAGAAAAAGCATCAGTAAAATGGACAATAATGCAAAAAAAAAAAAGGTGTTAATTTTGTGTAAAATGTGTAAAGAAATTATGTTAGCTGTGGATCTAGATCTTTTTAAGGTCAGCCCAGTTGGCAAGCATCCCTTGGCTTAGAAAATAAAAATAAAATGTTGAATTAATGACAGAAAAACAACATTTCCATCCCACCCAAGTCAAGCATGTCAAATTAGAATAGATTGCTACGTGTTCTTACAGACTGAAGCAAAGAGAAAAAAAGCACCATGTTTTATTACATATTAATGATTATGGAAATAATCTTGCCTGCCATCTACACACGCGAAGCGAAGCGAGGGTTCAAATTCCCATGCAAGGTTCAAACTCTCTGAAACAAAACTTTCAGTGCCACAGTCTCTGGCAACATCTGGCTCCTCATGTAGACACGTATTAGGATCAAATTAAGTAGAAATGAATAGGATGCTACATGACAGGCTGCAGATGTTCCAGGCAGTGGTGTGAAAATCTGGGAGCGAGAAACTAAATTAGTTCTGGCCTTTACAGCAGGGGTGCCACACTGGGTTCACAGGTAATAAAAAAAAGAAGAAGAAGGGGGAGACAAATTTAATTTAATCAAATCTAACTGAG